CTAACACGAGTCTCATTAAGTGTCCAGTTTAAGAGTATTACACAGAAACATACCAAGGGAACATGAATCAAATATGCACTTTTATTCATTTACAATAAACTCATAAAGTACATCATTCTGATTGAAACTAAGGGCATACAAAACTGTCCAACACTTTTTTCTTCTTACCATCCCCTTGAATCAAGGACTCGCCTTCCCTTTTTCTCTTCTTGGACGCACTTATGTTCTTCTGGTTGATCTCCTCCTCCGTCCTTATAAACTGATCTGTGAGCTTGAGGAACTCAGTCACAGTCTTGGACTGATTAACAACCACATGCCACTTGAATTCTTTATGGGTAATGCCTCGCTTGGCCGCGGTGAGTCAAACTGCGGGGTCTAGGTCAGGTTTTTGCTAACAAGTGTCATTGAACCGCTTGATAAAACTCCGAATGGACTCCCCTTCCTTCTGGATTATGCCAAGGAGGCTCTCCTGAGTTCTTGGGCACCTCTTGTTGGTGACAAAATGGGAGGTGAAGACTTGCACGAACTGCGTCCAACTTCTTATTGATCCGGACGTGAGATTCTGGTACCATGTGCGAGCCACTCCTTTGAAGGTGGTGGAGAAAGCCACGCACATACAGGATTCACTGGCCCTTGCCAGGTGCATCTGGGACTGGAAGGCATCAACATGGTCGTTCGGATCCAAGGATCTGTCATATTTATCTAGGGGAGGAAGCTTGAAGTCCTTTGGCATAGGAACAACAAGAAGTTCTAGCGACAGAGGGGAAGGAACTGAAAGGAGAGGAGTAGCTTTTACTTCACCTGATCTTACCTCCTCCTTACCCCTGAGCTCGGGCAGGACGCGAGTAGCAGTTCGGCGAGCTCGTTGGTGCCTCTGCTGCTGCTCGCTTCAGTATTACCGAGCTCGATGGACTCGGACTGCTGATGATAGCTGTGAACCGAAGGGCCTTGCCTGTAATCTACGGCTAGGACCTCAAACTAGTTTTCAGCGAGCGGGAGCTCGAACTGAGAGTGCTGAGGCGATGCGGGCTTGACCGACTGGAAGACCCCCGATCTGCTTGCAGGCTGCGAGGCGGGGGTGACTGGTTTATCCTTCCTACTGTGGGACAAGGCTTGGCTCTTGTAAGGATTCTGGGTTTGAGAGGCCTCTCCCCGGCAAGGACGTTTGCTCCGATGGGAGGGCTTGGCTTGCTTTGTGGCCGGATGCCGAGGGGGAAGTGGCTATTGGGCCTGAGGCATTGAAGGGAACTGTTGTTGGTACTAGTACTGAGAAACTTGATGCAGCACTTGCTGTTGGTAGAGTTGAAACTACTGAAACAGTTGCATTTGAGTTTGCATAGCTCGCATGCACTACACCAGGTCTTCAAGCTGGTTTTGATTGATCACTGGGGGAACAACAAAAGGTTCAGTGAAGGTTGTTCCAACCAAGGAAGGGAGTGGAGCGTTCACAGGTGCCACTGTCAGAGGCACATTTAGGCTGGGAACTCCGTCCACAAAGAGGGGGACGGTGAACTGTCCAATGCAGATAGTGGGGAGCTGAGGTTGCTCCCCAGAAGCATTCTGGTCGGTACCATTTCTGGCATTGCTAGAGGAAGCCATGAATGCTCAGTTCTTAGAGAGAGTTGTAGAGATTAGAGGAAGGCTTTTTGAAGATTTCCCACAAACGACGCCAAATGATGCAGTGCGATCCGGGCACTCCTAGCTGGCAGACGTCTAGCTCCTAGCTGACGACGGACGGTACTTGAGAAGAGGAAGGTTAAGGATTCCCGGGTAGCTCACCCGGTGGGAATACTCCGATGCTTAAGTTAGAACACTGAAAGAACTGTAAGAAATGCAAAGAGAGCTAAGAGTGCATATAGCGCTAGATCAGTGCAAAAAATACCCTCACCCCTTGGAAATCAGGGCCTTCAAATACAAATGTTCTTGTCCAATCGGGCGTAACCTCCACTGGCCCTCTATTGCAGCCGTTATTTGCCAGGGCTGCGCAGGTAACCGTTGCAGAGTACTGCCCAATCAGATGAGAGACACAACTCGGAAAGGACAGACACGCCACCACCAGTCGAGAGACGTGGGTGCAGTCTACTGGGTTGGCAGGGACTACGCCGTCAGTCCGGAGACGTGGTGCAGTCTGACGGGTACGGTCTCGTCAGATAAGAAGCTTCCAGAAATCGCGGTTTCGCTCAATATGTTATACAGTTGTATGCCCTTAGCTTCAATCAGAATTATGTACATTATGAATTTATTGTAAATGAATAAAGTACTCATTTGATTCATGTTCCTGTGCAACATTGTTACTTGCAGTCGAGGGAGAGGTCCTCCCTTGTCAGGCAGTGTTTGATCATTATGGGTTGAGAGGTTAAGTGTAAGACCATTGAGGATAATACCTGATGGGCTAATCTTGCATCTACCCACAGTCCCTGGGTGTTACAAGGTGGCT